CATTGATCCTATAATGGGCAAAAATGAGCCAACGGCGATTAAAGCAGACCTCCTATCATCTAATCCTAATGCAAGAATCTTATAACAATAAAAGTAACTAGCAGAAAAATAAACAGATTGATCATGAAAAATAAAAAGCAAGCAAACAGTAAAATTAAAAAACTGCTTCCAAACCCTAAACTCTCCTGCCTTCATGGCGGCGGTTCAGGAGGGGGACGGTCCAAGAGTAGTGTAGCTTCGTCCATGACTTTCTGATCTCAACCATGAACGATATCCTCAAAACTCTCCACCTGCTGCTAGGGGTACACAAATTTTGACCGTCATATAGGCGCTGCAATCTGCCGAAGAAGAGAGCCTCACGGAAGGTGGACAAAAGCCGCACAAGAAATCCGCTCTTCGTCAAAGACGAAAGCGGAGAAAAGCAACCCCTAAACCTAGGGGAGACGGCCGCCTAGAGAGAGAAACTCTCTTAGCGACACCGCTCCTCGACTAGGTCGATAGCGGACGAAGAGCTCTGGCGATAAAAACCCTAGAGAGAGACGGTAGTGCATGATCTTCCAAGCTATATCATTAAAACCAAAATGATTACCATTAAGATTTGTACACTACAACAAAAAGTATCAATTCCGTCCAAACTTTTTGCGTCAACCAAACTGGACGCTAATAACAGGTCATTTGCGTTAATATGTTAACGCGAAAAATTATATACAAAAACTATACGTCGATAACATTAGGTCATCCCAGTTGTCGACGCTAAAAATATACTCCATACGCCGGTATTAAAGCTTCAGAGATACGGAGTAAAACAAAACCAAAACCCTAGCTACTTGCTGAGAGAAATGGAGCGTGTGAGGGGAAATCAAGAGGCAGATGAGAAACGAAGACCCCTCCTCGTTACAATATACATCCCAAATGGGTTGAAGATCTAGGTGAATCGAAGGAGAAGCAATTTGAGGTTGAAGGGGTGAAGAAGAACCTCGATTTCTGGCTCAAGAACGGTGAGAATGAAGCTTTGTCTTGTTTTTTCAGTGGCCCTGATGTGTTTTTGCAGGTTTGTCAAGCTCTATTCTCCAGATTTACTTCAATTTACCGCAACATCCATGCTTATCTTCACCTCTCTCTCTCTCTAGTCTCCCTCTCGCAGTCTACCATATTTGGATTTGCCGGCATCTCAAATTCACTCTGTTCGTTAGTAGGTAATAGTATATATCCATTCATCGTTTCATTCTTTTTCATCAATACTATCTATTTTTTTTAGCAATTTTGAAATGTAATTCGTATTTTGTAATCTCAAATTATGATTGCAAGAGTCATGAATTGATGTTGGTAAGTGGTTACACATTTACCTTCACGGTCTGATGTCTTTGACATCTGTATGTGTATGCCTGATTGGATAATTTTTTTTTTATGTAAACAGTTTGAAGTAACCTAATATTGGAAGGTTGCAAGTTTAGTGTTTGAGAAAAGTACTCAAAGAATTAATGGTGTTTTTTAAGTTCATCAAAACCAATTTACCTTTCTTTCGTTTTTTGGAAGCACAGGCCATGTACTCTGTTAGGATTATAAGACTTCTTTTGTTGCTTTACCAACTTGCATTGGAGCTTTATGATTTTATTGATACTTAATTGCTAGTTTGAATGAAATGTTCTTACTTTATTTATTCTTAATTTCTTATTTAGTTTTTAAATCCTTTCCAAGCTAGTTGAACTTGTCTTTGTGCTTTTCTGGTTATGGAATTATGCTTCAACTCATGTGAGGTTAATTGCTTATTTTGTTATATTTTTGAACTTTTAGGTTTAACTCATGAGTTGGGTTGCTCAAATGTTGATCATGGTACTTTACCATTGCTAACGGTTCATAAATTTTATAAGGTATGAGTCCCTTGAGTAATTTATTCCAGCCCCTGTATCTCACAACCCGTGGTTTGCTCTTTGGTAGCACCATGAGGCATATTTTCTCTGGTATCGTCCATGGAATTGTTTGCTTATTTGCATATTCCTATCTTACTTTTTCCACTTTTGACTCTTATCTTCATAAAACATTTAAACTAAAACCTTCTTTAGATTGTTTCAGTTTCTTAACAATTGGTGCAGCTTTCTTATTTCTACTTGGTGAGCATGTTATACTATATTATTATATTACAGATTTGTCATTTTACTACATTCGCATGACACGAAGCAATGGACTGAGAAATTATTGTTCCTCTTTCAGGTCATAGTTTCATAGATATTGGAATGTTCGTAAATTCTGTCCGGGAGAAGGAATATAATCAAATCCAGCAGTATATATACATTGTGATTTACAAAGTATGTACTATACTTCAATATGAGTTGTTAATTTTTGAACTTTATGCTCTTTGCTATTTTGTTAATCTATCATGTTAACATTATGTAACATGTTAAGTTCATTTTTAAATTCTTGGTCAACTTTGGTTTACATTTTTAACTGGTTTTTAGCTCTACTTCTTGACTGTGTTGGTTTACTAGATTTACAGATCATATGAAATGGTTTCCACCAGAAAAAGCATATCGAACACAAAGGCTCGGTAATTACTTTTAGTTCTATTCGTAGATTATATGTTTTAGTTTATGGTCTTTGTTTTAAACATTTATTAATCATTTGCTATTTACAAATTGAAATCAGTTGTGTGATAATATTCCATCAGATTCTATGTATATGATGTTAAGATTTGGCCACATATTCTAATTTGTGCAGTATATGCTCAGGGGAGGATCTACGTACAGGCTATGGTGGGCTGAAGCCCAGTGCAACTTAACTTTTTTTCAAATTTTTTAGTGTAAATTTTTTCATTTTTTATATTCAGCTCACCCTTCTAATGTTTAAGTCTAGTATAATTGCTCTCCCAGCCCAGGGAATCTCAAATTCCTGGATCCGCCCCTGTATATGCTCTTGCACTTTTTTTTTTTAAATTTAAGATGTGCATTCTGTAGAAAATGAGGTTTAAGCTTATGTTCATCGGAGAAGAAACAACGGCAGCTTATGGAGCTTCTGAGCTGACGGATGAACCTAAAAGGATAGTTGATCCGGTTGATGGTACCACTAAATTTGTCCATGGGTAATTTTCCATTAAATATTGTAACAAGTGCCCCTTGGAGAACTTAAATGATTAACTTGTAATTTGGTATATTAAAAGCTGTGGTTTAACCTGTAGGTTTCCTTTTGTGTGTGTCTCCATTGGTCTCACAATTGGGAAAAAACCAACTGTTGGCGTTGTCTACGTACAACTGTTGGTCAGTGCATAGAGACAGTTGGTTAGTGATGGTTTAGTCTCCCCGGCTCTTATGTGTTACTAGGTATTATTCAGTCTGATAATGTCTGTTTCTCGAGGCTCTTGCATTTTTTTACTCCAATATGGCAGGTTGCGACTAATCATGGCGTTGTCTACAACTGTTGATGACTGATTACATCCGTCTTGGATTGATGGGGTTTCCAGTAGATTTGGAGTTTCTTGGAGAAGTGCTCTAATCAATGACAAGATTCAAATACTGTCCATTTGACTTTTGGCACATGATTCAAATCATGTCAATTAGTTGTATTTTGAAATTATAGTAGTTTTACATTTTAATTTAGTTATTTTGGCTTGTTATTCTCGCTTAGCTATTTAAACTTGTATTTATGCTTAATTTGAAAGTACGTCATAGTGATTTGATAAATTTTTACTGTAAATTTATGCATTTTCTGTATTTTAGGATCTTGTGATGACTGTTTAGTGTAATTATATTTTTAATTTTTTTTTTGGAAAAATAGTACCTTTAGCGTCCACATGTCGACGCGAATAATGTTTTTTTATTTTTTCGGATTATGACTTTTTGCGTTGACAAGGTCGACGCAAAAGATAAATTTTATTTGCGTCAACGTATTATATGTTTAAACATGTATATTGTTGTTCAAATAAAATAACTTGGGCAAGTATTTTCATGGGCCAACTTCCCAAATGGACGGCGGCCCTATCAATACACTGACACAAAAATGGCCCCAGTCTTCACCCCCATCACCCAGCCATACACTCCATCAGTGGCGGAGTCAGAAAAACGTATGAGGGGTCAAATTTTAATTATATACATTATCAAAATGGAGGATCGTTATTAAACAATTTTGAGTTAAATGTTTCTTACGTAGGTGATATAAATGTTAGTTTAATGAAACATATTCAATTGTTGTGTAGATATATATGTCATGTATTGAAAACTCACACAATTATTGAGTCAATAAGGTGTTTTGTTTTTAAATTTAAGAATATACGTAGTAATCAATATCACACATCAAATTTTGCTCGTCTCAAGTTCGGATGATGTTGATTTTTCTAGAAGTCGTAACTTTTTACTCGAAATGAGTTGTGAGACCCATAATATATCAAATCGAAGATAATTCAGAACTCTACATTCTCGAACTTTTAGCGGGGTCGACTGACCATCCTGCCCCCTGGCTCCGCCCCTGCTCTTCCCCAAAGCTTCTTCATGCCCATCAAATATTCCTTATTGAAATATTGTTACTATAGTGTAGCGTTGAACATTTGAACTAGTCATTGTCACTAAAGTTAATACAATAGCTACTAAAGTATAAAATGTTGCATTTTTGTCTAGTACCGGGCTTTATTTCATTCATATATTTGTGGCTATCTTTTTAATAATTACAATTACTGTCATAAGATGAAATCAATGTAATTTATTGAGTCAGTTCTCTTATCTCCTTTCATTGCTTCAACATCATATGATACATATAGAACAATTCTTTTTCTGAGTAGTCTTTTTATGAAATACGGAGTAATGTTTTGCAGCTTCATACGAGCCATAAAATAGAAAGAATTCTCCTAAATAATACTAAAGCCCCTTTTCTCCAATCATGTCAATCATGTTTTTGTTATGAATAAAATATCAATTTAACCATAAAGAGATACTAGAGAAGACCATTAATACAGAAGATCGATGAAGAAAGATTGATCTGATGATCATTTTAAGGAAATAAGTTTATTTTATAGTAATATAACTGTGTAAACTACTCTTTCAATTATAAGGCATTTAACACATATAACGACGTGTCTACACAGGAGAGGCGATTTATTAGAAATAAATATAGCACCAAATTAAAGTTGATGTGGACTCTTCATAGGTATCACAGAGACCTATGCAATGTATTGTGGACTAAAGTACACCATTTTGGATCCAATTTGTGAACATGATGAAAGATTGATAAGGTGCAGATTCTGGGGTTGTATGCCCTGCTCCCTGCAACACAAAGTGCAAAGCATCCCAAACATATACTAGTATAATTCCAAATGATGCACCATAATTTGTGTAATAAGCCTATGCAATATGCTAATTAACCATTAAATACAACTCACTATTTCGAGTCAAAAAATGCTCAAAATTTTCAATCAACGTAAGATTCATTAACCTCTCAGTTGATGACATGAGACATGACCCGAGTTAAGGCGCATTTTTGAGCTGATAAACTCCTTTTTCGGTCTTTGCTCGGATATGTCGAGCCAAGTTTTTGGCTCCACTTTTTCGGTGCCAAAACTGAGACAATTTTGGTCGGGAATGATTCCGAGCCAAACTTTCACGCCTATATTTTTCCTGAGTCGTGTGGTATACTCGTATTTCTACTTTTCCGAGACAAATATACTTGTATAATGCAACTAAAAATGTATGATTAAGTGGACGAACTAAGCTTGAATATATACGAATTATTACGACATTGATAAAATAAATAAAATATGGATTGTATTTATAGAAATAGGGATTGTTTTTACTTGGACTTCTTGTAGTCCCAGAACGGAACAAGTTCAAGGAGACCAGATCAGGCTAGAGCAAAACAATCTACTAGAATTCAACAATTGTAAAATACATATAGACTAAACATTCACCAAGCTAATTGGTTCAAACCATATGTACGACATCATACTAGAAAAGTTTTTGCAAACATTCTCGGTCAACTTATTTCGTATGACCATGCGTTTATTGATCCATCCTGTTTTAAAGAGTATAACTTGATATATACTCTAGGCTAAAGGATCAAATAGGTCCCTGTATCGTTCGTGTAAGCTCATTTCAGTCCCTGAACTCAAAAAAAAGTCCAATTCACACCCTGAACTGACAAAAAAGGATTCAAATTTCATTTTAAGGTTAAAGAATCGGTAAAAAAAAGTCCAATTCGCACCCCTAAACTATTAAAGAGTGTCAAAATTGCAATAAATCGAAAATAAAAAAGTAACAATAAAAAATTAAAAATATGACATGTTGTTTACCCGTAAAAAATGAAATTTGAACCATTTTTAGTCGATTCGGGGTGTGAATTGGACCTTTTTTTAGTTCATGTACTGAATTGAGCTTACACGACTAATACATGTATCTATTTGACCCCTATTTTGTAAAGCTGGTATTACACTATTACTTTGAGTGTTTTGAGTGTTTTGTATGTAAAGGAGTCTGTAAATTCTCTATTTAAACGATTGAATAATGTTGAAAAGTCAAGGTGGAATTGTACAGCCTAACTTTTAAGACAGGTGCAAGAAAGAATAGGTGTACTACTGTGATAGTCTAGTCTCCACACTAGATCGTATATTCGTATGCATTGCAATAATTCATGATGGATTGATGGTTACAGGTATATACTCCTTATAACTCAGAAACCATTGACATGTTCAAATCATATGTCTATCCAATTACCGGAAATAGTTATACGAAATTTGATGAGTTTTGGCCAACGATGGCATAGAGAATATACATCTACTTTCCTCATAGCATGTTTTTAAGAAATTTTCAGTTTTTGGTATGATTTGATTTGATAAATGTTTGATCTTAATATATTTTATAATTGTCAAAGTCTGATCTGATTGTATCTGATTAAAAAAACGGTCTAAGTAAAAACATCCATACTCACATTGGCACTATCATATTAACATATCTTCCCTTAATTATCTTTTTAATTTCATTTTTAGTTCATCCTGAAATAATACTCTGTATGTTTTTTTTCTTTTGGCAAAAAAATTTTGATTCACAACATTTCTTATACATTTCCATCATTTTTAATGGAGCCAAAGACTCTCCGTGCTTTAGTACCTGCGTACATCCGACCCCCCTTACCCCACCGTAGGTGAGAGCCTTTGCGCCACTAGGATAATGATGATGATGACAACATTTCTTATACATTCTTACACATTTGTCTCTCCTAACTACGGAGTAGTATATGCTTTAGAAGGGAGTATAACATACCTAGTTATCTACATCTCATAAAAAGTCTAGCTTATAGGACACCGGTCACCGGGTGGGATAATAAGAACATTATAATGAGATTGGATTAATAGTAGTACGTTTTTCATTGCATCATAAAATCGAAGAAAATGTTACCTTTACTGTTGCATATGTCATCCCATTTGAGTAAGTCATTGTATATCTACAAGATAATAAGGATTGTATGTCAACCGAAACAAAAGAAAATTTAATCATACTACGTTTTAAAAAGAGAACTTATACAAAAGATTATAACCTTTAATTTGAATTTGGAAGTACATGACATATACTCCCTCCGTCCCTGAAAATTGTTCCCTGTTTCCTTTTTGGGCCGTCCCAAAAAATTGTTCCCCTTTCCCCTTTTGGAAAGTTTTTTGTGGCTACAATTCATTTACCTTTTTCTTACTCAACCACAACCATACATTTCCACTTTATTTCCACTTTCTTAAACTCCGTTTCAAGTCAATGCTGGAATAATTTTCCGAGACAGAGGGAGTACTACGTACTACTTATTTTAAAATTTTGTTTTCTACTTATTCAGTTTGATGAGAAGTCGCGTACTTACCCTCCAACTTGATCATCTACCCACCATGGTCTCCAGTCATCAACAATGGAGTAGTTTAGGGCTTTTATCCATGCTTCAGTCGAAATAAACGTTATGCAAGGGTCATGGTCCCCGCTGCGAGACAAAATCGATCATTTTATATGCAACTCATATCAATATATGATACTAAAGTAATTTAACATGTTTTTACTTAGACTTAAATTTTTTGATTTGGTCTTATTTGGTCAGGTCTGTCCAAATTAAATCTGACCCATTTAGCTTTTCTGGTCAAGTCTGATAAATGTACGGTGTCTGTGTATGTTACAACTGTCGAAGTCTGGTTTGATTTGGTCTGATCATGTCTGATCGGTTCAAGAAGTATGGTCTGATTTAGTTTGATTTGATTTAATCTGGTCTATGAGTGAAATAAATCCAAGTAAAAACATCCTTAATATTTATAACAAATGTATTTATAATAAAATGAATGTATTTTTTAATTTTATTGTTAGTCAATGCATCCCATTGTTGTTAATAAATTGTTATTTAGTGTCACAGCCTCATTTGTGACGTTTATTCAATGTGTAAATAATTTCAATTTTTAAGAGTAACAGGTTTACAATTTGAGGTTTTACAAAGCTGGCCGAATATATACATACATAAATACACTATAGGTGCATTTTGTTTTTGGCGCAAACCTTATAATCATGTTCATACTTTTCCCTCGCTAGCATCATTGTATTAATGTTAACCATTAGATGCTTTTCAACATTCAATTTTATTGAAGATAATATGAATTTTATTTAAGAAGTACTTTAAACAAACAAATAAAGTATGATAATAAATATGTAAGCTCTTTTTATGTCGATCGCACAAATCGAAGATCCACAATAAACAAATTGGAGAGATTAATGGGAGAACTTGATCGTACAAAAATGGAGGCGCCTGATAGAATCCATCAAGCACGTGTGACTCCACAAGACTCTTAACATTAGTATTATGTTCTAAATAATACTCCGTAATACAACTGTTCTAATACACATTTTTTTTTACCATGGGGCGTCAGGGGGAGGGGTTTGGGGGACATGGGATAAACTGAGATCAATCTCAGTCCATTCAGAATTGAAACCGGGACTTCCCATAAGAGAGAGTGAGTTGATGACCAGCTGAGCTGGACCGCTTCCTCAACTATTCTAATACACATTTAGACATTAGATTGCATATGTTTATGGACTAGATCGAGTTTAATGATTTTTAAATTTGATTGTATTTCTAAATTACCAAATTAAGAGGTCCTTCAACTTTTCCCTGTCGATGACAGTTTTTGGAAATATCTTTTGCATCTTTTAATTTATAGCAAACCGGTGTTAGGCTCACTGTGGCGCTGGTAATATAATGGTTAATAAATTGGGAAAACTATCAAATAAGCCCCCAAACTATACCGAAAAAGTCGATTAGGCACTCGTACTTTACAAACACTCAATTAAGTCCTCGAACTATTAAAAAACGTTCAATTAAGCTCTTTTGGTCGGTAAGTAATCGATTTCCCGGTTAAATGTAACCCGTTTCCCGGCAGCCGCCGTTGCTGGGGTTCGAGCACATCGTCGCCGTTGTCGCCGTTTAACCGGGAAACCGGTTACTTACCGATCAAAAGGGCTTAATTGAACGTTTTTTAATAGTTCGAGGACATAATTGAGTGTTTGTAAAGTACGAGGGCCTAATCGACTTTTTTGGCATAGTACGGGGGCTTATTTGATAGTTTTCCCTAATAAATTTAATATTACAGTAATATAAGGGATATTACCCGAAATAGGACTAAAAAGGTTTCAAAATTTCAAAATAGGACTGACATGTTTTTATTCCCAAAATAGGACTAATTACTGCCATGTTTTGGCAGTACCAGACTTCAAACATGGCAGTATTTTCCAAACTTGACAGTAATTACTCCTATTTTGGGAATAAAAAATATGGCAGTCCTATTTTGGAATTTTCAAACTGTTTTAGTCCTATTTCGGGAACTTTCCCGTAATAAAATGGTTAATAAATGTAATATATGTCCAGATAGTGAATATAGACTAATAGATAGAGAAAAAAATTAATAAAATCATACGTAATACTGTATGAAAAGTATTCAAGTAAGGTAGGCCTAAGAATTGAAATTCTTAGGCCTCTTTCATTTGAGGTGCTTCTGAGATGAATTTTTTGATGATATTTTGTGAGCATGTTCTCCATGAAGTGTTGATTATGCCCACCAAATTTCGGGAAAAAATTCAATCGGGAAGTCGGTTTAATAATTTTTTCAAAATTGCGCTGGTTTTTACATATATAAAATACAGTTTTTTTCCAACAATTTATTTAAATGACTTCCCGATTGAATGTTATTGTGAAACTTGGTGGACATCATCTTCAATCCATGGAGAATATGCTCACAAAATTTCATTAAAAAATTCGACCCGGAAGCACCTCAAATGAAAGAGGCCTAAGAATTACAATTCTTAGGCCTACTTTACCTTAGCATTGTCCATTCTGTATAATATATATGTCCTAGAAGCACTACAAAAAAGTTACGGGAATGACACAGATTGATCGATGATTTCGTGCCAAAAGTGATTTTGGCACGGATTTAACACACTCCTCCCAAATCCTCTATGAATCTTAATGAATTCTTACCAAAAATGCTTGTCAATCGCGAGTTCTTTTGCAGTGAATTGTGGTTTTGTGACCATCTTGATGATATGGTTTAATTTTAATTTCTATCTAAAGAAATTTTCTTTATTTTGGTCTAAGGGCTCTAGTTAAGACGATATGATGGATAGGATGGTTACCACCGATTAAATATACCTGTAAATAAGAGATCGATAGCCTTTCTTGCTAAGGTGGGCATGATAGGATGTCACACTCTCTATATTTTGTGTGTATGATAAATTGGAACGGCAGAACTCCCACACATCAACGGTTCCCTGTATTCATATTAATCATGAAATTATCAATGTCACTTTAGTAATGAGTAATGCTCCCTTAGTAGCAAAACAAAACCATTCTTATGAATCATCAATTGGTTTTAAAGCCACATTTTCACTCGGCCAGTTCCATCAGGCGTTCATGAATCGCATAACGCGTGCCCTCAACCTTGACGAACGAGGCCGAGGAGGGATAGTTTTAGTCGAAATGATAGTTTTGCCTTCGAATTTGGCCAAATGCTTCTATAGATTATTTTAGAATGTGGTTCATCGAGTCGAGACCAATATACTTCATTAGGGAAATAAGGGGCACTTTTAACAAATTGAAGAGTCTTAAAGTTGATCAAAAGAAATGGAATAAGGAGACATTTGGTAACACATGCACTTGATGCAATACATAAGGCACAAGAGGTAATTCTTGCAGTTGAGAAGTGTTTTAATTTGAAGAAAGTCCATATCAAGCCAATACGGAAAATTGTTATAAGGAGGAAAAACTTCCTCTACATCTAAACTATAACACCGGGAGTGATAGCTTGACCTTTGTGGAAAACCAACTACTATAGCTAGGGTATTGGGATCTAAAATTTCTATTGTTTTATACATTAACATTATTACTAATAGTTTGTAGACTATGCAGTGCTCGTGTTTAAACATTATCCTAGTTAATGGAAGATTATTTCTAATAACTCAAACCTTAAACAAGATGGTTTATTACCAATAGACCATAAAACTTTCAAGTAACCTCGTATATTTCCTTGGAGAAAGCAACGATGGTCTCCTTTCAAAGTCAACATAATCCTCAATTCTCATTTTCCCAACATAGAATAGCTGGGATTGTTTGTGACAACGGACAAGAATGGTATATTTCAGGCACTTCTAGTGATGTTCTATAACATTGCTTTTGTAGTGAACTTATTTATAAGAGTAATTCTTGGTGTACACAAATTGTACACTGTCTATGCATGTATACATATACTTCGGTATAAAATTCTTCCCTTTTTCAAATGAATTGTCCGTGTACGCAGGACACTAGGGGGTTGTGTACAAGTTGTGTATTAATTCTGTGTACAACAAGAATTTTTCTATTTATAATAATGATACCGTGTTTTAGATGAAGTGACTCTTGACTAGCGTAAGAAGTACAGTTCTTCAACATATAAGCATACCTAGCTAGTTAGTAAAAAATTATATAAGTGCCTGTATTACCTTTTTGACATGTAGAGCCTTACGAACACTTTGTTCGTTTGCCCAGCGCTCCATGAGGCTATACCAATGATCCTACAGGGAAAGAACGCAATATGTTTCAAGAAAAATAAATAATTGATTAACATAGTGATTCGGTTGGAGATGTGTGATCATATGAAATTACACATTGAGGTGGAGTGTACTAAGTAAGTCTATCATCATATGAAAATTTCTGCATTCATAGTTTACAATTATGGAAGATAGTTCAGCATTGTTACCTTATGGAAACAAAATCCAGATTTCAAGACGAATAAGATATTATGATATTTTTATAGAGTTTTTGCCACTTTTAGTCTCTCGACTATTTTGATCATCAAAACCAACAACTCTATTAATCAAGTAAATCATTTGCCAGTTGGATTACAATCAAGAGGTTTGTTTTAGATAGTAGGTGATCTGGGACAAAACAACTCCTGACAATCGCCGTCCCTCGAACTAGACTCAGAGCTTATTGCCTCAACAATATAACTCGTTGATCCATTAATGGGCAAAAATGAGTCAAAGACGGTTACCGCAGTCATTCCATCACCCACACCCAAATTCAAAACCACAGTCTTACAATCAAAAGAGATAACACAACAAACAAACACAAACAAAATCAGACCAATAAAATAAATAAATGCAAAAAAAATAAATTCTTCACTGAGCCTTCCAAGAACCACCGGCGGCGGTTCAGAAGGACGCCGGATCGCCTTCACTTCATCTTCTTCCTTCATTGCGTTGATCGACCCTTGAGTCGCCTCCATTCGAATCTCCCTATCCCCGAACGAATTGCCGGTGAAACCCTAGAGACAGGACGCCAATCCATCCTACGATTGATGTTTGGAAATCGGGTCCAGGCTGCTGGTATTTTTAGTCTCTCGACTATTATGTTGGTGACACTATTGGTACTCACTTTTAATTTTTCTATTTTTAGTCCTTCATCGATGTATCTTTAGTCTGCATTTATGTAACATAGTCTCATATATGTTCCACATGATAAATTGGTACCATAAATATAAGTGTTTTTTTAGCGTAATACAAGTGTTGTTATATATGCACTTCTTACTATATCTCCCATTCTAGAGTGCACCAACAAAGTAGTTTTTCTTGTGGCAGTGTGGCACAAATGCATGATTGGGCCGACCACCGAATACATATCTATGACATTACTGATCTTTCTAGTCATATATTTGGAGATATCAATTTAAATAGATTGGATACTCAATATATTTCTTGTTAATTTTTATAGATTATTCCATTCAATTATTTCATCTATGATTGATATTCTGTACAATTTAAGAAAAATCAAAATAATCACTTAATCTCAGTGTTAGAAAGGGAACCTGACAAAGAAACTGCTCATTGATTGAGCCCCTTGATGAACTCATCCAATAATGCAAGGGAAAAGTCATAAATAAACAATTCTTACTCGACATTTTGCCTTTGGAGATAGAGAGAGATTGCTACGCCTTCCAAGAGATCTTCTCGGGGGGTTAAACTGTTTTAAGTAATTCCCATTTTTGTAATCTTTATGACAAACAGGTGCCTTTCTTGAAACAGACACATCATGACAAGCTGGCTCCAGAATATGAGATGTATATAATTCATCATACCCCTGCACAAAGTCAATTTTCTAAATACACAACCTCCTAACTATTGAATGAGATAAGATAAAGGAAAATTTAAAGAAGAGATCCATTGTTTTTTCTCAAAATATAACCGATTTACTCTGAATGTGAGAAGTCTTAATAGTTTTCATTCTTGTAATAATATTAAATAAGTCTTATTTTAAAAATACAATATGTGTAGTCCGATTTACTCTTCATGTTTTAGCATGACACACCCACCTAACGACACATCATAGGGATATGAAGATTTTTTTATCATATGGAGTATAATATGGCACCGTAAAAAACTCCATTAATTCCTCATGTATCGTGATTCTGCAATTTGGCCCTTGATCGAAAGACCTTACTGATTTCTGTAAGTTTTTAGTATTTATGTTCTTACGGTTAAGTAATTTTTATGGTATATTACTGTATTAATTGCACATTTACAATGCAATCTTTTATTTTCCAATTTATTATAATTTGATGATTGTAGATAAGTCTGAGCAAGAATCAATCAATCACCAAAGAATGAACAAGGACGCATAAAAGATATCCTAGAAGATCAAAGAATGGTGCAAGGGAACAAGAGAAAATGAAAAATACAATATGGTATTACACCATAACAAGTATATTAACATATCTGATCGGGTATTACTCAATAACTAGGTCTGCCTGGATACTTTCGAGGACACTCGTTCAGGTATCCTATATATTCCTGGTTGGGTGTCCGATTTTGCAATCCGTTTTCTACTTTTGTCCTATATATTCACTCTTTGTTGGGGTGAATTCATATAAACCTCAAACCTGCTTTTGTTAAAAACTCACACGAGAAAAGAACCTTTCCTTGTGAATACGAACTCCACTTCGTTATACTACTGCAATAATGATTAGTATTGAATTCTATTTGGTACACACACGAACCAGTGTGCGACTTACAAATACACTACTCAATCCATTCAAATAAAGCAACCGAACCCTTTTTAAGTTTCTTGAAATTCAGGAATATGATTACAAAATCACAAATATCTTGAGGGCTTATTAGCCCCTTTTCTCAAAGGAAAAATAATCTTTGGGAAGAAAATGTAATGACGTACTAGTTAAATATAGTTGTTTTATTTTATTTTCTACAAATGCAAGTAAAATGTGTTTGGCCTCCATTTTTCATAGCAATCAAAAATGTGTTTTGTATCAAAAAAGGATACAATATATATTTTTATGAGGGTAGACACAATGATCATTTGTCTTCACTTGAATCATTTCAAGAATAATAATGATATATATGTTAATAAGGTCATGTTTCATCCATATACAATTTTTTAACTTTGAAGTCTTTGATAAGATGTGTCTATTACAAACTCATACATTTTCACACTCATTTGTTGTTGGGAAAACTGTCGATTTGATCCTCGTACTTTCAGAAAAAAGTCAATTAGGTTCTCATACGTACTTTTAAAAAAATAAATGAAATTCCCGAACTTTGTAAGACGTTCAATTGAGTACATTTGCAGGTTACTTGTCATGTCAGCAGGTCACCCACTGACGTGGCACACACATGGTGGTCCACGTGTCAGTCATTGGCAAATGGCTGACTGGACTTCTACATGTGTGCCCTGTCAGCAAAGTTACTGGTTGTTGGCCTGCCACATGTGCGCCACATTAGCGGGTGACCTGCTGACATGACAAGTTACATGCAAATGGACTCAATTGAACGTTTTTATAAAGTTTCAGGATTTGATTGATTGTTTTAGAAATGCGGGGATCTAATTGACTTTTTCGTGATAGTACGAGGACCAAATGACAGTTTTCCCTTTGTTGTCTATTTCTTGAACCTTACACATTCAGGTTGTTTATAACATATTGTTCTTGGAAAAGTTACTTCAAATTCAATGAAATGTTCTTGTTTTATTAATATATACATGACAAGAAGTACCACTTAACATATGAAAGAACGTACTAATTTTTACAATCTAACTATATTCATTTTTGGGGATGTGACCATGCAATTAGACGTATGTTTTACTCAACAATGCATTATTTTTTATTTATATGCCAACATAGTTAATACAATATAAATTAGCTTTTAATAGAAAATATGACATATAAGCAAAAAAAGATTTATCAAAGGAAGCAACATACCTCATAAAATGTGATCAAATTTTGCAAGCAGAGCAAATTGCTGGAGTCAATATCTTGAGAGTCTCCTCTACAATGATATTGTAATGACTGTTTCAAAAAGGTTTCAAATTAATTAAAATTATTTATTTTTCAAACATAGAATTTACTACATAATTATATATATCACCTCGTAGAAGTCATTGGAAATGAGTCCCATTCCATGAGCAAATGGGATTTGGTAATTGTTTGGCGTATAATTAAATTGAAATGCTAAAGGGTTTCCTAGGAGATATCCCTGCAACAATTTATCAAGCATACAGAGATATTAGAATGGGGCTACACACTACAGTATTATATATCATAACACATGAGAATGAACAATGAGGAATGTTAAAAATTGCTTACAGGGAAAGTTTTCTATTCTCCTACAACCAAAATGATAATTTCTCATTAAAAATCATTTAATTAGACAAAGTCTAGATTCGCCAAGCTATTTCAGGTCACTTTGAGTTGATCGAAATGTAATCGATTCAGTCAATTACTTCAAATGCAGCCTTCTTTTGACAAAGAACTAAAGTAGATTGAATAAAAAAATTACCTAATTTGAAACATTATTAGTTCAATCCTTTAAATTATCATATATTAATGTCATTTTTACCCTCCTGTTATTCAAAGCCTATGTGCTTTCAATTAACATATGTATGTTTATGGTAATTGCCTACTTCATTCACATGATACTTCACTTTCCGCAATACGTACCTCATACCTATATCGGATACCAGTGTTAGTATTTTTAGAGCTAATCAAGTAATTAAGAAAGAAAGAAATCTCTAATAAATATTTTCAAACTTTTTAAAACTACTTAATTGAGAGTATTTATAATAGTAGTAAATGAGAGGTACATTTAATACAATATAACATGTCCTTATTCTATGGACGAGGTCCCTAATGCGTAAGAAGAGAGAGTCTATGGCCATGTTGTTTTCATGGAGTTGCAAGCACAATGCTTATGGCATGTGGGTATTGAGCGCCTTTGTGTATAGATGTGGGCCAACTGAGGTGGCGTACTGGGGACGTTGCTAAGTCCTTAATGGTTGAGTATACATAGTTCTGCTCTAAGTCTCTGACCATGGCCGAGGGTGCTCGTCTCAGAGGATATAGTCAAGTGCCACGACCAAGGGTGCAAATCTGTATTCTTGGTGTCCCTTTATGAAGCTGTCTGAGGTTGTTTTGTCGATGGTGCCCACGGCTGGCCAAAAGTGCAGACCAAGGGGATTTATTGGATGACCATTTGGCCGGATCAGGGTGTTCCTTGACTATGCGAGTTGTAGATCCAAGCTCATATACTCAGTCAGTACCCTATATTTTGGCACAGATCTCACTATTTTAGTCAGTTTCTCAATGGTTCTATATTGATCATAGCTTGAATGTTTTCAGATTCGGCTCAATGACCCTATGGTTTATCATCTGGCAAGGAATTTCTCTCTATAGATTGTGAAGTTTCCCATCTTCGGGTTTAGCTAGAAGTTGAATTACTTCATTATCTCAATGATTTAGTTGAGGTCCTTGACATGGATCATGGGTGGGCTTAATTTGTTTTGACAATCTCTCATCGATATCTACCTCCATTGTTAGACGAATGATGCTTCTGAACAACTTGGTGACCATCCGTTCATATTGCCATGAGAGTTCTTCGGGTCAAAGTCTAGCGGAAGGTAAAAGAACGATTCAGTCTAATGTGATGAATGATGTCTTCTCGACACAAAACTCATGCATGATTACTTGAGGTGACAAGGAAGCTCAAGTCTGCTAATGGGCTCACCTCTGGTCCTCCATTTTCTTATTTACCAATTTATTTATGGTTGGTATCCTTTTCCTTATCGATTGGTGAAATCGAGGTTGGGCATGATGGACTAGTGAATGAGTACAATAGGTAGAGGAAACATGGTTGATCAAAATTTATATGTGTCGATACCACATAACAAAAATTGAATCATACCACATTAAAAATCTTACCAACTAACAAAGACCACTAGAAAAATTAAATCTTGATTTAAGGATAAAAGTAAAATGCATGGTTGTGTTAGGAATCTCCCTTATGGTTAAGATTTTTATCCTTATCGATTGGTGAAGGAATGATATACTAAATGAAAGAAGTTTAACATGACTCTCCATAATGTTTTAATCTTTTCCCTCGCGCAAAGGCTATTTTATTCAGTATTTTGTTAATTGGCAATGTTCTAACAAGGTAACAAGACATGTATTCCATTAAGGTTGAGTGTTATCATTTAAATAAAATATGTATTAAGGATCAATCTTTGTGACTTAAGGAAATTGCTCGAAATATGAGAAAAACACAATCAAAATTCTAAAATAAAACTAAGTGTTTTCCACAAAAAGTGACTTATCTAGTCTTTTTAAAAGAATAAAAGCTTCTTTGAATAGGAGTCCTCGATTTCTATTTGCGGGAAAAACAATGTCACTCCTATTTGAAAAAAATACAATATTTTACTCATATGTATAACCTATGCATTGAGTGTCCATTCATCATTCTTTGTAAACTCTAAACATCTCTATTTATAAGTCAATTACAACTATACACAACCTCATTCTGTCACATAATATAAAAATAAATAAATAGAAAGTAAAAGTGTTTGTGAATTCTGAAATAGAACTACTATGTTTTTACTATTCACTAAATAAAAGTAAAACAATTATTTTTTGACATTACCAGACTTTAAATATGACATTATCTTTCAATCTTGTCAGTAATTACTCTATTTAGAGATTGAAAACATACATAGTACTACGGAATACTACTTGGAATTGCACAACATTTTTACTTATATTTCGAACATTTTCCATTATAAATTAATACTCTGTACAAAAGAAGCAAGTGTACCTTTAGGTTGATCCATGGTGTAGCTCCTGTCTCGATTCCTTTTGTTGCGTGCAAAGAAACCAGACATATAAATATATGTCATCGAATCGCTAACAAGCTAAGCCCATTTATTTGGTTGGAGGAATATGATTTAGGGCTAAATATAAACGGTATCAAGACTATTGGTATTATAGTATTTTAATATCTTAACTCTTAAATTAGACAAACTAGTACCATAATTGTACGTAAATGTTTTATCTAGTGACATATTCAGAATTGCATGCTTACAATCTACCGTATATTATTTCAACCGTCCTATTTTATCTGTCTTACTTTCTTTTTTGGATTGTCCCAAAATAAGTGTCATATTTCCAGTTTTAGAAACAAATATGTGGTACACAACATTATATATTTCACTTTCTTATCTTCAAATCTCATTCATAACTTTTACTTCTTCAAACATTTTATTAATAATTGTATCAAACCAAAAGAAAACACAAAAATGAGATGGAGGTAATACTTTTATTCATGATATCACTAAAGAATTCATGATATCACTAGAGACTAGAGAGTGAACCGCACACAACTACACATCGAATTCGGGCCTTCATGTAGTAGGGAATTAGTGAGTGTAAAATAGTACATTGTCCATTTCTAAATAAAGTACTAGTACATCTCCTAATAAAACAACACTTTAGTTTTTCTAGAAGGACATGTCAAAGAGGTGTCACTATAGTCACATACATACAAAAAAATCAATAAAGATCATTTTTATGTGAAATGATTTGTGTAGTTTTTGCTGACAACCTATATTACACATATATAAATATATTAAATATAAATTCAAGTAAAATAGGACTTAATAGTCATATTGAAAGGGTTTTACCATCTGATATATAAGTTGTCATAATGGGGACAAAAATGCCAGCATAGGATTCTCCACCGACATAGAGATCATTTGAAATGTAGTCTGGGTGCCCTTCCAACCACTACAACAATATATAAGGATGATGTAAAGTGAAATATTAAATGAGGCGTTTTCGATTACACCTTTTTTATTGAATTGGGTTAATTTAGAGTCCAATGTAAGATAGGGAAAACTTATTGATGATATATTATGTAGTCTTGAGCCTTTGATTGTGATCCAACGCATATTTAATGAACTATTCATTTAGAGTAAATTTATTAATCAAAATTCATCTAGCTGGTCTAGATGAATTAGTTGGCCTTAAGTGGGCATTAATCAAAACTAATCACTATCATGTGATTTTGTTGTTTGAAATAATTTGACTCTAAGTGAGCATTATTATAAAAGATGCATTTTGAATATATAATAGTGTAATATGTTATGTTATCATATTAGTTATTAAATTACAAATAATTCACTTTCCTTGGACTGAACGCATTGCACAGGGTGAAAAGGCCAATTGTGAGCTATTCACCCCCAAGAATGTTGCAACCCTGAATAAAAAACGTATATGGAGGTCTTATAGTGGAGTTGGGTGATAGCTATTCACTCAAAACACAAAAGGGAAAAATGGCGCATGGAGAACTCACTCACGCAGCCACGCATGAGAAAGGACGCAATGTGGTACACATGATAAACTTATTCATGCAGTAGATAATTAATACGGAGTATGAGTGTGGGCAAACGGTTCCACTTTTTTGTGTTGTAACTGATTAACATTCAATTAAGTCTCGTTTTAGTGTCAAATAAAATTAAGTTTGACACATCTACTTCAATAAAAAATACCTTCTGGATAAATTGGGTTCCATGTATGCCTGCATGTGTATCGTCGGAGTGTTTAGGATGAGATGAGTTTGCATATGAAAATCCAGTCCCAACGGGTAAATCTAGAAATATGATATTTGCGACCTGAGTGATATTGAAATTTCAATAAAATGTTATAAAAACGATTTAATTAAATGGATAAATTTAATTATCCCAATATCCATAATATAAAGTCTCACTATATTGAATATTTTTGTGCTTTTGTATGATATTGCTTCAAATCTCTCGCATGACCAGCGAAGAGTGTTGCTTTCTACAAGCACCACAAAAAAATTACGGGATTGACGCGGATTTGCCACAGATTTACCAACGATTTCGTGCCAAATAACTCATGCTTAAATGTTTTTGACACAGATTTGGCATTTCCCTACCAAATCCTTCATGATTTTTTCAAATCTCTGTCAAAAATCATTGTCAATCCCTTTTTTTTTGTAGTGAAAGTGGATTCTTTTATGCTTTTCATAGAATGAGGGGAGCTAGGGGTAGTATAGTAATTTTTTTGTGGTGATACTTAGTTTTTGGTTTCTGATTAATAAAGTTTAAGCTTTCTTCTTAAAAATGTCATTAAATCACGAATAATTTATATTTAATTATTTATTTTATTTTGGTAAGTAAAATATTGTATGTTGGTATTCCATGTTTTTATTTTATTATTTCTTCTCAGGTTTTTCTTATGAATTTGTGTAAAACAATTGAGCCCATTTAATAATTAACTTTTTTCGGTGTATCAACCTCATTAGTGAATTTGTATTAACACTAAACTTTGACTTGAATAAATATATTGTGGTGAAAAAATAATTGAAGTTACTTCATAGTTTAATTTGCTGAACATGACAATCTCAATCTTTTCACACGTATATTTATTTTATTAATAAAATAAAAAATTCTAGTTGTAATAATTTTAAATCGATTCAACTGTTTCAACTATAAATTCAGCAAACAAAATCAATAGATTTAACTAAATATATGTTGTTAAACATTTTTTTTGTGAGCACTTAATAAACTATAGATGAAGTATGTGTAACGAAGTTAAAAACTTATTAAATTTCATATAATTACCTTCGTCCATGCATAAGGATTTAAAGTCAGTGTAGGTATGCTTCCATTGTATTCAGCCTCGATAAATCGCAGAGGCCCTGTATTTGTTGTTGAGTGTTAATGTGTATTAACAAAACACACAATTCAGTTCTCAAATTTAATGCATCATATTTTTTCATATTCCACTCATTCAATCATATTTTTATTTGACTCAAGGTAACATATATATACATATATATAGTTTAACTTGTTTCAAATAAAAACGGTATTTCTATGAGGAAAGTGTGAACAACTTCACTGCCATAAAGCATTTTGTGCAAAGACATTTTGTTTCACGTATAGCGCATTAATTATTTCAACAACGTGCGGAAAGACATTTTGTGATTAAGTTTTTTTATTTGTTTAATCCATGAAACATGATATACTTAATCTGATCGCGATGCACATGATTTATTCTAATTTTTTTGAGAATGAAATTTTTATTTGCATAAAAATTAAGTTATCTATATTATATATTTATAAGTATGTATGCATAAATATATTATATATTAATGACAAATATATAATCAAAATAAAAGCAATAGATAAAACTATGACTTTTTATACTTCAATATAATTACTATGATATTAAGTTTAGTAAAATTAAATGATTGTATATATAGTAACTATAAATGTGTATAGTGTCCATGTATATAATAATGTTTTTGTCTATGAGTAATATTACATATTTCAGTAATATTTAAGGAAAAGTATATGGAGTATACCATTATCAAATGTGACTGACCATAGCCCTGAGCAGCCTGGGCCGCCCGTTAACCAAAGTATTACAGGATCTTTATCCGGCCTGGTTGGTGATTCGGACTTTATAAAGTAGTAGAACAGTTGGACCTCTTCTTGTGGCTCACCAACTCCAATGTACCTATGTATATTATTTATTATTAATAATTTAACTTAATGAATCGGAGAATAAAATAAATACATTTATACAAACAGAACCGTTACTATTTACTCCCTCCGTCCCTATTATATCTTCCAAATAGGTTTGGCGCGGAGTTTAAGATAGTGGGTATTGTGTGGTGGAGAGTTGTGCAGAGGAGAGAGAAATGTGTAAGAATTGTTGTGAACCACAAATTCTGGCCAAAAAAGGAAAGTGGAAGTTTTAATTGGGACGGACGAAAAAGGAAAGTTGGAAGTTTATTTAGGGACGAAGGGAGTATAGTGATACTCATAAAAATATTATGGAAAAATTTCCAAGAAGACATTTTATAATTTCAAAATAGGACTGTCATATTTTTATTTCCTAAATGAAGGTATTACTATCAAGTGTAGAAAATAGTATCATGTTTAAAATTTAGAATGCCAAAACATGACAATAATTACTCCTATTTAGAAATAAAAACGTGATGATCATATTTTGAATTCACAAACATTTTTGCTCCTATATATATTAGAGTGATTTCTTAAATATTACAGTACTAAGTATTAACCACTTTTATCATTTGATCTATCTATATATATGAATTGTCATCCATCCATGCATCATGCATGATCGCACATCAAATCGAACTAATTTCGTTTCCGGCAAAATATTATATTCGTATGAATAAAATATAATACTTGGTAGTAAATTCAAATCAAGAATCATATGATCGAGCACTGCTACAATTTACAAATACTTTTTTAGGAGTTGAAGCACTTAGTTAATCTTTTTAGTTAGTTTTGACTTTTTAAGTAAAAGATGGAAAACTAGCTATGCAAAATTTATCAATCATTTTAAGTAATATTCCACGTATATTTATGCAAAATTTAATAATTTTTATACTTTTAATTTATTATTGTAGTAGTTGTAATAAAGAACATTTTCATATCATTTTGATAATGTAAATACGTTTGTATATAAGTATTTATTAGTTAAACTTTAAATTCATTAACTTGCGAAAGTAAAAAAATTGCTAACTAAAAAGCAACAATGGGAGTAAAATATGTGAATGTCCCTTATTAGACACTTTTCCTTCAATTGGAAATAATCAATTACCTTTTTCTTTGATTTCGTACCACTTACTCATTTGATTTAACAGTATCAACTTTTGGGGCTCTTTTATCATGAAAAGATACTGTTTTTGAAATGTATAATCTTAGGTAATTGTATTTTTAAGTATCACATTATATGCTATTGAAAGTACATATATTAGAATTTTTAAAGAAAAAAATGTTCCATGCTATCCAGATTTTTTTGAAAGAGTTCCATGCTATCCAGATGAAAAACAATCCACCCCTTGATTATAAATCAGGGATCCATCATTATATTGTAGAAATAGGTGTAAGCATATTGGTTGATTTCCGATAGAATCATACCAAATTGGGAGCTATAAAAGGTTTGGAATGGATCAAAATAGAGTAAAATATGATAAAATCAAATACACACGAGTTTTGGAGTGAATTTAGAAATGATTATGATTTTCTGGTTAATGTGAACCTGCTCTTTTATTATACATATAAAATAAAGTCTCAACACGGGTTTTAGAACTCAAAACGATCTTTCCGACGAGATATAAAATGCTTGAAATGGAAGAACATAAAACAAGATATGATCAAATCAAATACTCAGCCTGTTTTCTGTAATAAACAGAAGAACCAAAATAGAGCATATTTAGCGTAATTAGAGTATGTGATTAAGTTTGAAAAAATTACTTTCAAATTGTATTGAACGGAATTGAAACTAAGAAAACAAGGAAATAAAACTGAACAAAAAAGATAGATAATTATCATATATAGTAGGAGTAAAACATGATATAAAAGCAAAATAGGAGTGGTTGTTTAAAATTCCCAAAATAGAATTTTTTTGTAATAGGACATGAATATCCCTGCACGTATTAGTGTTGCCATTGCCACTACTAAAATGCCTTCGCTGGCCCCAGAGTACCGACGCTGCCGCCGACAGACTGCCGCTATGATCGCTGGAGCTCTGACAGAACTAAAAAGATTTCAGATTCCGCTGCCACTAGTCTTCTTTGGAATAGCATCTCACCAACGGACTGATCCGCTACCAACTGTATGATTCGGTTATTCAAGAGAACGGGGGCAATAATTAAATAATGTTAATTAATTAAATAATGGGGTATTATGGGTAGAAAGTTAATGTTACTCCTATTTATAGAAGATTAGAGATGAACTCCTATTTAGAAAAAATGTATATATTTTACTCCTATTTACTTCTATTAAGGGAAATTATTTATAAAAAATCAATAGAACCGAATATATGTAGGGAAAATTCCCAAAATATGAGTAAAAATTTTGAAAATTTCAAAATAGGATAATCATGTTTCTATTCACAAAATAAGAGTAATTATCGCCAAGTTTAGAAAATCATATTTGACGTCTGGTAGTGTCAAAATATGACAGTAATTAGACCTATATTGAGAATAAAAACTTGATGGTCCATACTTTGGAATATACAAACTTTTTTTTAGTCTTCTTTAGGGAAATTTCACATATATACGAAGTATATAGTACTACGTACTCCGTATAACTTATGTTGATTATCATTCTTCTTCGAGTCCGACATACCCACAATCCACACCGGCCTATTCTGAAATACGGTTAGCAATGCTTATTGATTCGGGTATACTCGTTGCTTCAATACTTTGTACTAAGGGTGGGCATAAAACCGTTACCAAATCCGCCCCCAAAGGTATCAAACCCTATATCGTGTATTTAAACCGTTCTTTTTTAGATTTTTATTGCGAACTGAAACTATACCAATTGAAGTTAGTTCGGGACTGGTCCTAAAATTTGAGAACTAAAAAATACCGGACTTGTCCAGTCCGTTTAAAATTAATGCGTTTGAGATTTTAAATCCAAATATGTATTCATCCGTCCCTAAAATAGCAAAATGTTTGTGTTTATATAAATTATGTGATTTTTTCCTTTGGATAATACTTCATATATGTTACATTTTGATGTATATTGAACAAATGCTATAGTTTTAAAATCACTAACGACTTTTAATTTACAGTAAAATAGGGCATATAACTTTTGATATATCATATTTGTACATTTTTACCAATGTTCTAAAAGGCGTTAGGCGCTAGTCGGGCGCCAGCCCAGCGCCTAGGCGGCTAGGCGGGCGCCTAGGCGGGGACTAGTCGGAGACAAAGAAATTGCATTTTTATCTATATTTTTGCATAAATATGATAAATAATATTGTATTTTTGTGTGTATAAAATGCATGTATACATATACATTAACAAACATGAATGATAGAATCATCACATTTAATCTTACATAGCAGATACTACTAGATAGTATATGATAACTAATCACTTAACTTCATTATGTTATAAATATATATAATGATGAAATTTAGGTATATATAGAAACATATATACTTTTATCTTAATTTACAACTTCATTTCTCTATATTCATGGCTAAACCTAAAGTACATATATTGCTTTGAAAATTAAAATTAAAAAGTAAAGTAATGTTTGGCGAATCTAGACGGCCTAGACGATCGATTAGGCGCTCTAGGCGGGACACTATACGCCATAGGCGGCCGACTGATTCACCTAGATGGCAAACCAATTAATCGGAGCGCCTAGACAAAAATCGGGGCGCCCGACCACCGCCTAGTGCCTAGGCGGGGTCCGCGGGGACTAGTCGGACGCCTAGAACGATTTTTAGAATAGAGATTTTTACAACTTAATTAATATGATTTAGATCTTAGCTCCCATGTTGCAACTATAAATGGGAAAACTGTCAAATAAGTCCTCGCACTTTCATAAAAAAGTCAATTAAGTCCTTCTATAAGAGACTCTGTCCGGTCGTCGCGATTTGGGGCGGTTCCCGGTGGAATTTTTTGATGAAATTTGTAGAGCATCTTATTCATCAAGTCTAGTTTACTCATACCAAATTTCATCTAAAAATTTAATCGGGAGCTCATTCAAATTAATTCGAGAACGCAAAAATGCGCAGTTATCTTCAAGAATTAATTTGAATGTGTTTCCGATTGAATTTTTAGCTGAAATTTGGTATGAGTAAACTAGACTTGGTGAATAAGATGCTCAAAAAATTTCATAAAAAAAATCCATCGGGAACTGCCCCAAATCGCGACGGCCGGACAGAACCTCCTATAGAAGGACTTAATTGACATTTTTATGAAAGTTTGAGGACCTATTTGACAGTTTTCCCTTAGAACTAATATTCAATCTAGAACAAAGAAGAAGAATGTTGGACTTTTCTATTATATTAAACAATTGGATGATTATTTTATATTGTAACATGAATTTAATAAAGATGATATCTATTTTATTTTATTTTTATTTAGTTTTGTTGCACTATTTCGGTATTTGCAAATTTGAAGGATAAAAATATTGGCCTCTTGAATCTCTCCTAGCATTTAGTATGGTTTTTCTTGTATTTTCATCAACATTTCATATGAACTGACTGATATAATGTTATCTACTAATTGTAAGATTTGTTCAAAATTTTAGCATCGATCGTTTTAGCATTGTACCATACCATTTTGTACCGTTTTGAAATGACATGATATCGAATAATCGAATGGTTCCATACTTAGAAGCGAACCATACCGAACCATTAAAAATCTCAGGGGTACATTAAGTGGTCCGCTAAATTACTGGACCGTACCCACCCCTACTTTTACTCCGTGACATCCTTTATCTAGTTTATCCTGCCATCTACCTCACTTATTTGTACTTTTATTTTATCAATCTTATTTGTGATCATACATACTAATAGGGGCCGAGCCAGGATTTCACTAGAAGGAGGTCGGGCCAGAACGAAAGTGTATTAATGCATAGATATATTTTATTAAAATTCATGATTAATTTTAAATATTTGAGACTTTAAATTTGTAGGAATACTAAAACAAAATAATTTATAGATTATATTCATACTATTTTCCCCAATACTTTTCAAGCTTAAAAAAGTCTTATAAATTGAATAGTTTTAATCTACAGCTGTCATACTATTTAATAAAATGATAAATTTAATCATTTAAAACATTATATTATAATAAATATATTAACATTTAGGTACTTCTACAGTTTTTTTACTAATAAGTATATTGAAAGTAATTTATACTAAAAAAAATTGAAAAATTTTGGGGGACCCCTAAAGGTAGCTCTGCCCCTGCTACTATTTCTCCAGCTAATGTTGAGACTTGAATAGATGGGAAAATTAAAAAAAAAAAATAAGTTTATGAGATTAATATAAAATTATTAAAATAAGAATAAAGTAAACATGATTTAAAATTGCACAAACTACAGCAAGTTTGGTATGACACATTATTAGTACAGAGTAGTACACAATCAAAAGGAAAAATTGATACTTCCTCCGTTCCACAAAATTTTTCTCACTTACTATTTTAGAATGTCCCAAAAAATTCTTCCAATTTCCTTTTTTAGAAAGTTTTGTGTGATTAACATTTATCTTTTTCTTACTCAATCACAATCATACATTTTTACGTTATTCTCTCTTTCTAAGAGCATCTCTAATGTTATAATGTCTACGGTGCACATGTAGCATGATTGATAGCCACATAAATATTACCAAATAAATTATTTAATTTCTCTCCTTATTTGAATGATTTTATTCAATTTTGGTAAGTTTTTCTCTGCAATGTCAACAACAATGTCAACATCTAGACGGTCTCCTTGACATTGTGGAGAAAAACTTACCAACACTGTATAAAATCATTTAAATAAGGAGAGAAAGAATTTATTTACTAATATTTATGTGTCTATCTCTTATGTCACATGTACACCGTGCACATTGTACCACTGGAGATGCTCTAAGCGTGCTAATTCAAATTTCAAAGTGGGAAGTATTTTTTAGAACGGAAGATCGATATATATTAACACGTATTCTCTCTTTTAGAATATTGATGGGATCTATTGATGCTAAGCATACCCGGTTTCAAGCTGGAATGGAAGCAATCCATCGTATCCAGGGATGTGTGTAACGCCGGTAGCAAATCCGGCGCCGGCGGCTAGCGAACAGTATAACAGCAACTTTACATATACCAGCAAACCTACAATGCTAAGTAGCGACATTTTAAGCATTTTGTCGGAGTCCATCACTTCATTGCATCGCAAGCTGATATATACTCACTCCCTCCGTATTTTTTTAAATGCATTTGACTTTTTCCACTATTCACATGTTCTACTTTGACTTTCTTTCATTTATTAATATATTATAAATTAAATTTTAAAAAAATTTGTTAAATTCTTCTCGTTTTAAAGTTTCAAAATCTATTTTTTTTAAATTTTTTACTAATAAGGTATAAAAGATATTAATGGTTAAACTTGTGCGTTGACAAACGTACTATCTCTGTCTCAAAATACTGAACCAAATCTAAAATTTTTTATCATGATTTTGATTAATATAGCATTAAGTTATAAATTTTATACTTTTATAAAAGTACTTTTAACGAAAAATGTTTTTATGTCATTTTCAACTAATATTTTGGGATGGAAGTAGTACTCCCTCCTTCCCTATATAAAAGACATACTTTGACTAGCATGCATCTTAAGAAAGGAATATTGTTTGGCACAATTTGAACATTATTTTGAATTGTTTTGCATTGTTTTGTTTGTCAAAAAAAGAAAAAAAAGTCTTTTATATAAGGACAATCCAAAAAGGAAACAATGCCTTTTATTTAGGGACGGAGGGAATACTATATACTACCTATTATACTGAAATAGGATCAATGTAACAAATGTCATTCACAGAGTAAAGCTTAGTTAGCATTTACAAATTGATTCTCCACCAGAAAGGAGTTGTGGAATTGAATGGACTGTCAACTATTAAAGCCCTCTATGCTTTTTCCGATGGAGTAATTCCCAATCTTATCGCATTCTGCCTCGGAGTCATGAGCTTTAATTTTCTCAAATATCTCTCAATACACATCGAAAAGAGGGTCTGGATAGAATAAAATGTTGTACTCTTAAAAAACGTGCATGAATGATTCCATTTTTGGTTTGGTGCACTGGCTATTCCATTTTTGGTTTGGTGGATCACCTTTTCATCATTAAAGAATTGCATTTTTTTGTAGTAGCGAAGAAAATTTCTGATTTTTTTCAATGTGAATCACATATATTGATATATTGGAATTACTTAATCAAACGTCATAACAATAGAATCAAGCTTCATACATATTTATGGTAATAGTGATATTCTTATGTGATGTATACTTCTATTTCTAATTAAGGATCACCAAGGACTTTTCGAGGCACCTTATGGTATGTCTTTTCTAAATCAATGAACATCAAATTCAGATCTTTTTTAGTGGTTCTATACTTCTCTACAATTTGTCTAAAAAGATGAATAACCTTAGTTGTTGAGCATCCAAGCATAAAACCAAACTGATTCTTCGAAAATTTCACACTTTTTTGGAGTCTTTGTTCAATCTTTCGCTCTCAAAGTTTTATGAGGTGACCCATAAACTTAATCTCTTGATAGTTGATACATTCTCGTACATCACCCTTAGATTATGGTTACAAGCAAAGAACGAGAAAACTAAGTAATTAAGTGATCCGTATGTATCGAGTGGTGGAACTTGTCAAGTTGAAGTAAGAACTTGAGAGCGCAAAAGAACGAAGGCTAAAACTCATAAAGAGCAAGAAGAAAACGATGGTATTGACTTCCGCGGAAACTCAAAAATGCCTCCCAGCTTCTTTTAATCTACGGGGTACTCCGTATAATATTGCAAGTTTATGGCTACTCTCTTCCGCGTCATCTAGTTACCTTTTCACAATCTTTCAAAAATCTCCTCGCCTGATTCGTATGGTTAACATTCTTTTATTTTTTCTTATTTAATTACAATCACACATTTTCATTATATTTCCACATTACTAGTATAAATATGTCAAGTTAAACTACACGAAATTTTTAAACAGGGGGGAGTACAATGCTTGAAAATGTTTTGATTTCTATTGATTTTGAGTAATTCGATGTGATTAATTATGGTTGGAATTTATGATTTCTTTTTATGCCACAAATGATGTTTCTAATTGTTTTTAGGAAAAATTGATAGTAATAATTCCAACTATTGGTGGTCCGCTCATAATAATTTCAACTATCGATTATCTCAGAATAATTCCAACTCTAGAGACTTTCCGCCAATAATGGTCCGGCGTGACCGACTATGGTGGATGAGAAGATATGTAGCAGGTAATCCCTATAAATAATCCCAAATTTTAATATCCGGTCATGGACCATTATTGGCGGAGGGTCCATATAATTAGGATTATACAAAAATAATCAATAGTTGGAATTATTGTCAGCGGACTGGCAATAGTTGAGATTATTATTTTCAATTTTTCCTTGTTTTTAAGAATATTATGAAAGATGAAGAAGTAGAAGACAATATATATTTCAACTCTTGTTGAATTTTGTTGACTATACCAGTTTCCACCATAACGATAAAATGGGTTATTTAGATCAGTAATGGAGGATGAATATATATGTATCTAGTAGACAATATTAAGTTATTAACTTTTTAGGAATAATTTACTTTCGTCCTCTCAACATTATCTTATACCTACTCTTGTACTAATTTGTGACTCCAGTTTTAAATTTTGATATCTAAAAAAAATAAATGAATTTATAGCATGATTTTAGTTTAGTTTGTGGCCCCAAGATCGACTTCCTGTATCCCCACAACCTCAACATTATATCTTTTGGAAATAAGGTTTGAATGTTATTGTTGTAATAGTATTTAAAATTTGTACTTACAATTGGCGGGCAATATGAAATTTATAAATGTATCTATAAAAAAAATTGGATGCCATGGCCCCCCGGGCCTCAACTAAACCCCTCTGCATCTAAACGTTCGTTTTCTCCTTTTCATTAGAGTTTTTCCCGGGGAGGGTAGGTCTAGACTATGTCACTCATAAACGAAACGCAAAAATTCAGCAAATGGAAGTAGGGCTGGGACTTTGGAACCAAGAACCGGAGAACCAAACCGGACCGAACCGTTATGACCCGGTTCGGTTCGGTTCCAAAATTTATTAGTTATTTGTTAATGGTTCGGTTCCTATTTTTTATTAACGGTTCGGTTCTCGGTTCCTGAAAAAAATATGTACCTGGAACCGTTAAGGAACCATTATATATAATAATAATTAAAAGTATATATATTTCTTATTGGTATATATATTTTAATGTATATTTACTTATCTACTTTTATATGACATTCACTATTTTAGTTTAGATATTTAACTATTTAAAATTATTTTTCATTTTAACTGGTTTTCTTGAGCTTCTTTAGCGAATATCTTGTTTTGTTTTATTTACTAAAATTTACAGTGTGTTATGGATTTATATCTTAAACTCAACTTTTCAGTTTGAAATGATGTTCAACATATTTGTATAGTAATTTCAAACGTTAAATGTATTTTTGACAAAAATTTAACAGTGATTTTTAAGATTTTTTTTAAAGACTAGGAACCGTTAAATGACAAGAACCGAACTGTTAATAAAATTTCATATTTTCAAACGGTTCCACATATTTTGCCTAGGAACCGAACCGGTCCCAGGCCTAAATGGATGTCGATCTCCATTTTCCTTATCTGATTTGAAAAACTTAGGTCTCAAAAAAAAAACGGATGAACTCTCTTAGAAGATAGTTGGAGTTAGAGTTATTCATTAATTGTAACTACAAACCATTGGTTAAATCAACAATTCAACATAGTTTGACATTTTTCCTTTCAAAAAAAGATTGAAAAAAAACAAATAAAGTAGAAATGGGCATCAATTTCCAACCAAGCATCGCCCTTGTCCATTATTTCCAAAGAGATCAGGAAATCAATTTTGTTCACCTCCTCAAAGGAGGGTGAACATCACTTCCACCATAATTGCTTGCCATGTGGCAAGGCAATTGTTTACAATTTTGCAATTGTTTTAAAATTTTCATTTTTAATCTATTTTTTAATAAAAGATATTCAATTTTTTTATTTTTATGATCTTTAATATGATAACAATATTGCATATGGAAAAATATGAAAAAATCCTGCTAAAAATAAATGTTTAAAAAAATTCAATTTATATTATATATATATATATATATATAATAGTGATACCATATATTGGATAGCTCACAAAAAATTACGTATTAAATTTGATATATTCTTTTATAAAAATTTGGACCACAAATGGCAACCAAAGAAGTTAAGGAGGATGTTCACCAGAGGGGTGAACAAAACATGACTCATAGATCTGTCCCATACGCCTGAATAACAACATCATTTATTTGGAATTGAAACGCCCACACATCAGCGTGAAAATAATATACAATCACTTTTCCAACCAATAGTTGAGGTTCGAGTAAAGGGTCAGTTTGATCCTCGAAATTGAAAAAAGGGGGTCAAATAAGTCCTTATGTAGAAGATTCTGTTTGGGCGTGCCATTTGAGGAGGTTGCCGATGGAATTTTTTGATAAATTTTTTTGAACATCTTATTCATTAAGTCTAGTTTACTCATATCAAATTTCAGCTAAAAGTTCAATCGGGAAGACATTCAAACAATCACTAAAATATTACACCACCTTTTGAAGAATCTAAACCATCCATCTTTTTGAGGATCTGGGTTCCAACTGATGGCTAACAAGTTCTTATGATGAGAGGCAATATATAAACAATAAAACATTCTCTTGTGAATCAGGATGTTTTCTTTTGGACTGAAATTTGCTGGTCTGGTCTGTTTAAGTCTGGTCTGGTCTGGTCTGGTCTGGTCTGTTTAAGTCTGGTCTGAACCGGTCTGGTCTGGTCTGGTAAACGTCTGGTCTCTGTGTATTTTATGACTACGGAAGTCTGGTCTGGTCTAGTCTGGTCTGTTTAAGTCTGGTCTGGTCTGTTTAAGTCTGGTCTGGTCTGATCTGGTCTGTTTAAGTCTGGTCTGGTCTGGTCTGGGACTGAAAACAGTCCAAAAGAAAACATCCTCATTATTACATCCCTCCGTAAAAAAAATCATATCATGTTTTTTCTTCTTTCTTAAAATATTCACACATTCTTTTTTGTAAAAACATTTCTGAATAATCACATTTGGCATATACCCAAACGCGCATCGCGCGTATA